TCCTAGAGCCGAAACTGGAGTCGGGACCATGGCTACTGGGGCCGGTACTGAAGCCGGGACCATGGCTACTGGGGCCGGTACTGAAGCCGGAATCATGGCTGCTGGGGCCGGAACCAGGGCCGGAACCATGGCTGCTGGGACCGGTTCTGGAGCAAACACTGGGTGAGAAGCAGGGGCTGACGCCAGACGGACCACACCGATGCGTGTGGTATCAAAAAGGGAATTGGGAGACCTGGGTCTATCTGGATCGGGAAAACAAACCGTGAGGTAATCCAAAAGCCAGGCAGGTAAGAATTTAACCAAATCTTGATTCTTCATCGGAAGCTTGCATGCATCTGCCAGACCAGCCTCTCGTTGCTGAACCCTGACCTCTCCCATCCATCGATTACGCAGTCAGACAAAGAAAAGGTATAATCCAATAGTTCCTGCTCAAACGGATCTGCTGGGCCCATATCTCTGGTCGGTTCGTAATGTTACGGTGTGTGTAGGAAGCAGGACCCAAATGCAGATTAAAGTGACAAAAATAACTCCTTTATTTCAAGGTTAAACTATTAACAAAGACTGAACAGAACACTCACCGCGGACCAAGTCATTACACAAGACGAACTGACCAAGACAGACAGAAAAACCAGAACTTAAATATACACAAGACAAATCATACAAACAAGACACAGGTGAGGAGGGAGGAGAAAACACAGGGACACCAGGTGAACACAATCGGGTAAATTAGACACACCAGGGAAACTAACGACAGGGAACCACAGACAGATCTAAACAAGACAAAACACAACGCAGACAGAAAACCTAAGACAGATCTAGACAAGACACAACGCAGACAGAAAACCAAAGACAGATCTGGACAAGACACAACGCAGACAGAAAACCAAAGACAGATCTAGACAAGACAAAACACAACACAGACAGATCGTGACAGCATAAAAGTTTCTTATACACACACATCAAAGAAGGAGGGGTTGAGAATTAAGTCTAAGTGGCAGACACACTCTTCTCCCACTTAAACTTCTCATGGCATATCTTATCCAAAGTTCAAGTAGAAGCGCCTCACAGGCATAAATCAAAACTAAAGAGGTTACATTTTATTCATGGTTATTCATGCAAGGCCCCATGGTGAAAATTCATTGTAGGGTCACATTTTGTATTCTGTTCTGCTCTATAGTATTCTGTTCTATTATTTGCTGTTCTAGTTTACTATATTATTTTCTGTTCTATTCTAATCATTCTATTCTATTGTATTCTGTTGTATTCTAATCCAACCTGTTTTGTTCTGTTCTATTCTGTTCTTTTCCATTATGTTCTATTCTATTCTATAGTATTCTGTTCTGTTCTATTCTATTTGATTGTATTCTGTTCTTTCCTATTGTGTTCTGTTCTGTTCCATTGTATTCTATTCTGTTCCATTCCGTTCCATTCTGATCTATTCCGTTCCATTCTCCTCTCTGTATGTTTATCTGATCAGTTTCCTGTCTTTGTCCCCCAGGTGTATCGACATCCTGGAGCTGTCGGAGCGTAAGGATCTGATGAAGTTCCACTACCACACCCTGATGTTGTACTGTGCCGTGTGTGCGCTCGGCAACAACCGTGTGGCTCACGCCCTCTGCAGCCACGTGGACGAATCACAGCTGTTCTACGCCACGGAGAACACCTACCTGCCCGGACCCCTCCGCAGCGGCTACTACGACCTGCTCATCAGCATCCACCTTGAGTCGGCCAAACGGGCCCGCCTGGGCACCAACCGGGAGTTCATCGTGCCCATGTCCCAGGAGACGCTCAGCATTCACCTGTACCCCGACGCCAAGAAGGCCCACTCCCTCCCCGGGGTGGGCCTCACTACCTGCCTACGGCCCAAGCTGCATTTCTCCTCCATCAACTTTGTCGGCACCGACCCCGACCTCTACACCCTCAGCCCCGTTTTCCCTCTCCAGGTACGAGACAGGACTCATCGGAACCTTTTTATTACGTTTAAATTGTCCCTATCATTTAACTATATTTTATTCAACTGTAAAATGACCTGCTGTCACTCAGGGGTTAGTGATTTTCTTTCAATCCGAGTTGTCTGAGTGCAGTTGCAGTGGGGCAACTGTTATTAAATGCCATCAGATTTATTTTTTATTCTGGTAGCATTGTATTTTAACTTAATTTCCTTTCATTTTCCTTTAAAATGGAGCAACCATTACGAAAAGCAATTGTTCCCCCGTCGTTAAACAAAGCATATTGATTCTGATCTGATTATCTTTCATCTTACCCCCTCAGGAGCTGAAGACCCGGGCCATCAGCATGCTGACGGAGGCCGTGCTGGATGGCAGCCAGGCCATGAGGGACCCTGTCGGAGGCAGCGTGGAGTTCCACTTCGTCCCCATCCTGAAGCTCATCAGCACTCTGCTCATCATGGGCATCTTCAACGACGAGGACACCAAGCACATCCTCAAGATGATCGACCCACACGTGTTCAGTGGGAAAGAGGAAGTGGAAGAGAAAGAGGGAGAGAGAGCTGAGGAGGGTGGAGCTGCTGAGGTCGAGGAAGGGAAGGATGAGGATGCCGGAGACGAAGGGGTCGGAGACGAAGAGGAGGAGGAGCTGAATGAGTTGGAAGAAGGAAAGCCGAAGGAGGAAGGAGCCGAGCCTAAGGAGGAGGGAGAAGAGGAGAAGGAAGCGGCAGAAGGAGAAAAGCTGGAGGTAGAGAAGGCGGAGGAGGAGAAGAAGAAGGAGGCAGTGGAGGCAGAAGCCAAAGAGGAAGAGGAGGGTCTGGAGGAGGGGTTACTGCAGATGAAGCTACCAGAGTCTGTCAAGCTGCAGGTCAATAGATTTTATTACCAAAATCCTACATCCTTTAAATATCTGTCGAATGTGACCCTACTGAGCATTTGAAACTCTTCTCCCCCCTCAGATGTGCACTCTCCTGCAGTACTTCTGCGACTGCGAGCTGCGCCACAGAGTGGAAGCCATCGTCGCATATTCAGATGAGTTCGTCAACGATATCCAAAAGAACCAACGCGTCCGCTACAACCTGCTGATGAGAGCCTTCACCATGTCGGCTGCTGAGACCGCCCGCAAGACCCGGGAGTTCCGCTCTCCGCCTCAGGACCAGGTACATTCATTTTGAAATGAAGAATAACCAAATATGTGCTTTAAAAATTGGATGTCTATAATTGACCTCCCACGAGTTAACACTTTGTGTAGAAAGCGCTGCAGAACAAGCACACTGTTTATTGATAATGGGTGTTGAAACATGGAATGGACTGAGCCCAAAAGTATCATCCTGATGAACAATTCAAATCAAAGTTTAGGAGTCATTTAGTAAAAGATTATACACATTTATTTTAATCACCAATTATAATATGGTCTTTCTTCAGTTCCCTTAACAAATCATATGTATTTGGACAGACTACAATGTACAATAAAAGCAACATGATCAAATAAAACTAGAAAAAAAAGATGAAGTTAAATTCTTCGCATGAGACTGTACATTTGGAACTTCATTTATAATAAAGTTTGTAATTATTTTGCCATAAGATTTGATCGTAAAACATTGAATTAGATAACTCATAAGTATAAACTGGACCCTCCTGCTTCACCTAACTTTAATGTAACTTGACTTTCCATATTAACAAATGAATAATGATATAGTAAAATAAAAATAAAATAACCTGTGCTCCATTGGTATGTAAAAATTATTGGGGTTGGTTTGTAAAGATCTGATGAAAAGATTTTCTTATAATGTGACCCGCTCTATCGAAATCAGTTGGAAGTCGCAACGGCTCATTTCTAAATAAACGTGGATTTGCGTAAAAAAAAAAGTTTTGCGGGGTTCGGGTGTTTTGTAAAGCTTGTAAAGGGAAGATGACAGCTCTCACTCGCCACTCTGCTGTTCTGCCGCACCGCCCCCCCTCCCTCCGGCTGACGGCAGGGTCCGTTACAGTTTGTTTTATCTGATTTCAATTAAACAAAGTCTTGGCTTTCAGAATATGAAACTTGTTTCGGCAAATTCAGATGATAAATACAACTTTGAAGCTTGTAACGGCATAATTACAAGCAGAGAACGTAGTAACTTAACGTCACAGCAGGCATACCAACAGCCGGTGTTTCTCGTGAGGGTTTTCCCCGGGAAACAAACACAATAGCCTACACACAAACGCAAAATTACACAAACGCACACACACGTATACACACACACACACACTCGCGAGCTTCCCCCAGACCAGTAATCCAAACGAAAATATCATCCCTCCGTAGTGTTTTTATCATTTGCTCCGCTAATAATCAATCAGATCGATGGATTCCAGAGAAGAGAAAACTTTGAAGGCCTTTTTCTCAAAATGATGACTCTGTGATAGTCATTATACAATGTGACATATTTCGCTTAATATTTGGAGTACAACAACAATCCTGATATCATTGGAAAGCTAGGAATATCCTCTTTCCAACAGTGTATACAACTCAAAATGTGTCTTCGGGTCAATGCGACTGATTTCGATAGAGCAGGTCACATATGTCATGAAAAACACAAAAACAACAAGAAACCCCTAAAATGTAATGGAATAAAAAGTCTTGTGCAAAGGAGAGAAAAAAGCAAAGCAGACAAAATATGTTCTTTTATGTCTCCTTTCAAGGTTCTTTTGCTGACCAAGTTCAAGCACAGTCCAGAGGACGAGTTCAGCCCGGTGCCTGAGGAGACGCGGGACACTCTGGTGGAGTTCCACATCGACCTGCTGCTGCACTGCGGTGAGGCGCTCTTTAGAGATGCTGTGGGTTTTATTGGCTCCATTGTTTTTCCAATGCTGGTACATGTTGAGAGTTAGGGTTATTTAGATTCCATAGCATGGCTTCTTTAAGACCAGTGCAAAGTAAACATCCACAATACACACTTAGGGGTTTATTTGAATAACTTTGTTCATTTGAGTATTTTTTCAAAATTCACCGAAAGGTAGCAAAAGTGAATGTGTCATATGGATCATTAAGAAAAATCAGAAAGCTAATATGAAAAATACTGTCTTATATCAATGTATGAAATATAATATTATTAGTTCAATATTCTACCCTATTCACCTTTAGCGTCTTGCAAACTAAATGAAGGTTAGAATATATACCTTTTAAACGCCCTTTTCTCAAAATAACTTTTTATTATACAACATGTAAAATGTCATTCACTTCTAAATATTCAAGGTTAATGTAGCATTTAATTCCTTAAAGAAAAAAGAGATTTAATAAAGCAATTTGCATATTTATACTTACAAATGTAAGTAAAAACTGAGTTATTAAGAATGTCGAATACAAAATAAATCGTCATTGTGTTTGTAATCGACTGAGGAAGTTGTTTGGCCCATTTATTTCCCAATGATCTAGCGTCTCCTCTTAATGCTGAATTCCTATTTCAAACAGGTATTCATGTGGAGGAGGAGGCGGAGGAAAAGGAGGTGGACTCCTCACTGAGGGGCAGACTCATCAGTATGGTGGATATGATCAAGAGCCTGCGGAAGAAGGAGGAGGAGGAGGAGCCGGAGGTGGAGGAGGAGCAGAAGCCCAGTAAGAACCGGCCTGTTCCATAAGACTTGATTAAATGGCTGTGTAACCCATAACAACCTTTCCCTCTCTGTGTCCACCTCCCCTAAGACTCGCTCCAGGAGCTGATCTCCCACACCATGATCCACTGGGCCCAGGAGTCGTTCATCCAGAACCCGGAGCTGGTGCGCCTGATGTTCAGCCTGCTGCACCGGCAGTACGACGGCCTGGGGGAGCTGATCCGAGCGCTGCCCAAAGCCTACGCCATCAACGCCATCTCCGTGCAGGACACCATGGACCTTCTGGAGTGTCTGGGGCAGATCCGCTCGCTGCTTATCGTCCAGATGGGCCCCGAGGAGGAGCGCCTCATGATCCAGAGCATCGGGTCAGTGTGGGGGGGTTAGGGTTAGTCCCACAATAAACAAGCAACATCAGCACAGTACAATACAAAAACAAGTTATTGCTTTTCTAACTGAGTAATATGTTTTTGTTAAATGCTTTCGGCTCACCCTGCCCCAATATCTCCATCTATTGTTTTGTTGTGTCCTCCGAACCCAAGCAGTGGGTCTGACTGATGTTTTTGTTGTTGTATTCTTTCAGGAACATCATGAACAACAAGGTGTTCTACCAGCACCCCAACCTGATGCGAGCCCTGGGTATGCATGAGACTGTGATGGAGGTGATGGTTAATGTGCTGGGCGGAGGAGGAGACTCCAAGGTAATTATAATGCTTTGTTTTATTTGTCTGAAATGTTACATTTACAGTCTAGTAGTTATTTTAGATTTTGATTCCCCGAAATAAAATGAGTGAATCAGCTTTTATTCTGTCAGTCTAATCAGTCAACATTTTTAAACAACACCTGAAAAAATAACCTGTAAAACTGGCAACATCCCCCTTCTATTAGTCTTTTTGTTTTACTGTTTCATTCATTGTATTGTATTTAATGATTTTCTTGTATTTTTGAATTATGTCTGTTTTTAAACTTTTGAGTGGATTATGTGTTGTTAAACAGCTTTTTTGTAACTTATTATTAATATATTTTCTCTTTTTCTCTCTCCAGGAGATCCGGTTCCCCCAGATGGTGACCAACTGCTGTCGTTTCCTGTGTTACTTCTGTCGTATCAGCCGACAGAACCAGCGCTCCATGTTTGACCACCTGAGCTACCTGCTGCAGAACAGCGGCATCGGCCTGGGTCAGTACCAGGCTCTCTGCTTTACTGCTCATAGGGCATTGGATTCAAAACAGGTGTCCTTGTAAAGATTACATTCTTAACTTTCCCTATCATTGGAGGTTCTGTTTAAGGTGAACTGCTGTGAATCTCCTCTGAAAACAAACAAAATATTTGACCACAGGAAAAATCATCCACTTTTTTTGACAAATATTTACATTACGTTCATCATTCTACCATTGAGTAGCCAGGATAGCAAACAGGCATGTTTTTGCAGAGGAGAGCAAAGGTCTCACTCGCAATGAAGGGGTAGCGAGCTGATTGGCCGTCGCAGAGGGACGTGCACTTGCTGGAGTTTAGTGTTTAATAGAGAATACAGAATGACAAAGTAAGGCAAAGAACACACAGAGAAAGACTTACCTTATTTACCTCTGCAGGCATGCGAGGATCCACCCCTCTGGACGTGGCTGCAGCTTCCTGCATCGACAACAACGAGCTGGCGCTGGCTCTTCAAGAGCAGGACCTGGAAATGGTTTGAGAAAACACAAACATGACAAAAGAAAACAACACATTGAAGTGTCCAGTTCTCTCATACTCTCTCCTGGTGTCCCCTCCTTGGTTCTGTAGGTCGTGACATACCTGGCGGGCTGCGGTCTGCAGATGTGTCCCATGCTCCTCTCTAAGGGTTACCCTGACATCGGCTGGAACCCCTGCGGAGGGGGGAGATACCTGGACTTCCTGCGCTTCGCTGTCTTTGTGAACGGTCAGCACCCTCTGCTCTAATGATTACTTTTATGTTTTGGGTTAGGGTTACTTTCAGGTTTAAGCAGGACCCAAACGTATACGAAAAGGGAAGCAGGTATGAGGAACTTGAGGAAGTGTGCTTTATTTAACAGAAGCTGATAAACACAAAAAAAAAACAGAGGGACAGGCAAGGGAACCACACGGGAAAACAGCCAAATAAAACCCAATGCAGGAACACGAGGAATAATCCTGGTAAAGAAACAGGAAACATGGACAGCAGAACAACCGGGGAAACATTGATCGAATCATTGAGCATAAACCCACAGAGTAAAACTGGGAAATGGATAAGCTGGAGAGGGCAGGCAAAACACAAGGGCAGGTCAGTACACACAGTTGGATAGAATCAGAGCAGGGCAGATGCCTGGAAAAAAGGCAGGAAGTGTAGACAATGAAAGTGATCTCAGAAAAATAAAACAGGAAACACAAAAACCCAGATCCTAACAGCCACTAACGTTTGTTCCCCACAGGAGAGAGCGTGGAGGAGAACGCCAACGTGGTGGTGCGCCTGCTCATCCGTCGGCCCGAATGCTTCGGCCCTGCCCTGAGAGGGGAGGGGGGGAACGGTCTGCTGGCTGCCATGGAGGAGGCCATCAAGATCTCAGAGGACCCGGCCAGGGACGGACCCACGGTGAAAAAGGACCGACGCTTCATGTGAGTGATGGCGGGATAGAGGGATGTTTACCTCTCAGTGTGTGATAACACAATACAAATACCAGGGTTCCACAATTCATTCAAATGTGAGTGAAATTGCAATATGGACTAGTGCTGAATTGGAACTGCGGTAAGCAGAATATTCCCTAAAGGCTAAATAAGTGTTCAAATACAATTTTGAGAGAAGTATTGTGGAGCTGTAGTGAGATCCCGGCCTAAAAAGCAGAGTCTTGCAGACTTTAAATATCACACCACATATTTTCAATGATAATGAGAATTATGATGCAAAAATTATAAATACCCCCAATATGGTGAATCATGACACAATTGCAATATCAGTCGAAATAATAGCAATTAGAAATGTTTTCTCAATCTTGCAGCCCTACATATAAAAGTTTGTTTTGTTTTCGAGGATGGAGCTACGGTGGCTGACAGCTGCAAGTGAGCTACAACGGTCAGACACACTTCCATTAGGAGAGACAAATGAGCTGTGCTTCAGAAACTATGCAAATATCAAATCACAAATGTGCCAAAACAGATGAAGAAACGTCTTCACCAACTTGACAACACATGCCCAGCGTTTATTCAAAGCACTATAAAAACAAAACGATGCAAGAAGCTCAAAAGACACTGGAAACCAGGGGACACTAAAAAGTGACGCACACAGCTCGGAACGGAGCGCTTGTTGCCGTTCGGGCATTACTGTATGAAGTTTTACTCATTGTGCCCAGAGCAAGAACAAAAAACATAGAAGAAGATTTTGTTTTTTTGGGATAAACTTTCAAAACATCTGACGTTGGCCCCAACCTTACATTTTCTTTTGAATTGAGGCTAAACACCTTGTTATAACTACTTTTCCAGAGGTTGTTCAACAACATTTTATTATAATACTTCTGTACCCCTTTCAGCTTGTGTGTATGAAATGTGCTATATGAATAAACTGACATAAATGTAAGCTTTGCTGATCAAAATGATGTGAAAACCTGTTTTTTTTTATTGGCAGGTTTGGTGGTGAGGAGCAGCACGAGGAGAACCGCGTCCACCTGGGGAACGCCATCATGTCCTTCTACTCCGCCCTCATCGATCTGCTGGGTCGCTGCGCCCCTGAGATGCATGTTAGTTTAGCGGCTTTGTCTCTGGGCACATTTGTTCTGTACAGTATGTGGTTGCTGCACTTTAGTCTCATACAGTGTGTGTGAAATCTTCTTTTCTACAGCTGATCCAAGCAGGAAAGGGTGAAGCTCTGAGGATCCGGGCCATCCTGAGGTCTCTGGTGCCCATAGAGGACCTGGTGGGGGTCATCAGCCTCTCTGTGCAGATTCCTGCCTACGGCAAAGGTGAGACACTCAAGTTGGAATTGTGGAGAACTATTTCTTGAATAGTATCAGCAATATATGAATGATTAGGTCAATGAATTGAAATGATTAGGTCAACAACATCTGTTTTCAGTTGTTTCAAATGAATAGAATAAATCAATTATTTATATAAAATAAATAAAGATAAACAGGGGAAATACCAATATCACAATTATAATTATCGTATAAATACAATTCAATTATATATGATTGAAATATGTATATCTAGAGCAGGGTTCGGCAACCCCTGGCACTGCCACCATTGGCACGCGGCACCGTAACCAGTGGAACACTAGGAATAAGTGGAATAAGTGTGCAAAATATTTAAATTGTATTTTCGGATCCTGAACGAGACCGCCGCCAGAGCGCGTCTCCCCGTTACCTGCAGAAGGAAGCCATGCATGCAACGCAGCCCCGCTCTCTTTAAATCCAGGCGACTTTCTGCCGCTTTCCTCCGTGGTGCAGTGCTGATCGTTTCACCACGGAGGAAAGCACTTCACAAATTGTAGTACCCATAAGGAGCTGTACAAATGCCGCAGTTTTTGCGTGGCTGTGTCTTTAGTTGAAATCCCAGTGGCGATCTGCTCCTCTCTCATCGAAATAATGTGCTACACAGGGGCGGACTGGCCATCTGTGTGTTCTGGAGAATCACAGAACGGACGGTCGTCATTATTAATATGTTGTTTAAACCAATTATTTGAATGTGTTTAAACGGCATCATGTAAGTTGCGCTGACAGATGAAAGAGGTCCACACACTGCTTCCCCGCAGTGAGGCTCCCCCCGCCCCCTGTAGACAGTTCACGATCGTCGGCACACTGATCACAATTTACATTTTTGGTGGCACTTAATATCAAAAAGGTTGCCGACCCCTGATCTAGAGAATGCCCAATATGAAATATTATGAAACTTATTATGTATATGTTTATGTATTGTGCCTTACTGTTATGTTTATTTCTATATTTTTTTATTTGGTTAATTTTGTTAATTTCCCAATTTGGGATCAATAAAGTTACGGTTAGGGTTAGGGTTAAAAAAAAAAAATTGTTATCAGCGTGCCGACTATCGAGAATTATCAACGGGGGGGGGTTGAGGAGCTTGACGCTCGTGAACTATCAGCCGGAGGGCGGGGGGGTCCTCGCTGCGGGGAAGCAGTGTGTGGACCTGTCAACGAAACTTACACATTTACCACATTTAAATAATTGGTTTAAACGGCATAATAATAAGTCCGTTCTGTGATTCTCCAGAACACACATGTTATAATATTAGGGTCATGCAGAGTGAGATGAGATC